TTGGAAAGAGGATTAAAAAGAACTTTAGAGGGATTGAACAAGAACCACCAAGATAACACCCAAGAACAGAGTACGTCAGCGTCGAGCCACGCCAAGTCCCAAGCGTTGAACAACTCAACCCTAAACGCAACTTTAATTTCACGGCGAGCTCCCGTTTCACATGCGGTCTCGCATCACGGCGCAGCCAAGGCCTCAAATGCCCTGATTTCCATCCCGTGGATGACGGTGCCCAGAAACGAGGCTTAATCGCACCCAATGGACTTGACCAATTGGAGTTTTGCTGATTGCGCCCAGTTTCTTGGTTAAGCTTCTGGGCGACTTGGCGATCTTGGCTTTAGTTTGGCTTATCGTAAGAACGTGATTGGGTGAGAAAGGGCCTCGCTTATCGTGCAGGGAGGCAAATGCATCGGCTTTCTTGAATACGAGGGTCAGGAAGGAACCCGTTGTACAATGGCCCTTTTCAGACAAGATGCTCTATTGCACAATCTTCGGCGAGTATTGTAGTCAAGACAAGTGGCGATGACTATTTCAAGGCTTTGTTGATTATCCTTCCTCTAACCGGAGCACTGTCGACTTCACCTTACCCAAACTATGGGGCCTTTCACGGCTGCGCCAATAAGACCCCAGGAACAAAATGCATTTGGTCTCGGGTAGGTCATTGCTGCAAAGGCACAACAAGCAAATTTTACGGAACGGTGGAGTAAAGAAGCATTCTGCCTGATCTGGCTATGCTGAGAAGGCTGTCGAAGTATGAATTTGGATGGTCTACAAGGAGACATAAGGTGTGAACTCTGCTTGACTTGCGCTTCTTACAACGCGCATCTGCATCCTTGTTCGGTGTGAACTTTACACGCGCTCAACATACCTCAAGGGTACGACACATTTTCATTTCCAGCTACATACTGAACTGCAAGATGGGACGTGGAGAAACGTTGTGTCGATGAGCCTTGTGGTGCGCTTATCGTCAAGACCATTCGCAACACCCAGGAACAAGCCATTTACAGACCCCGAGACAATTCGCGCTTTGCTTCTGTGTCTCATTCCATCAGAGAGATACAGTAGCAATTACCAATGCACATCACCCCAATTGGTTAACCCAGATTCACTGTCCATGTTCTCATCACGTGAACATTCCCAATCAAACGCCTCCCGAGCGCGGAAGACCAGGCGGTGAAATAGTGCTACGACATAGTTATGCAAATTGTGCTAGCCCGTTCATAAAACACGACGATCACAATCATTGTGGGAACAACTGCCGGCAACACGAGTCGGAATTCCACAGCAGCGGGGCAAATGAAGTCATGGAGAAGGCTAATTCTCGTATTGAAGATTGAGATCTCCAGTTTTCATGGCCAAACCAGATGACGATGGCACTTCTGATTTGGCAACTTGAAGATCCATACCCCGGTTGTTTCATGCAACGTTTAATTCCAGGGTCCTTTATTTTTACTCCTTTGGATCATGAAACGGAAGTTTCTTTTCTTTCAGTTAACCGCCTTTCACTTGCTTTCAGCCTCTGATTCTGAAGTGTTCACTTCTTTGAGGCATTGGTTTGTCTTTTACTGTGGCTCTTTTGAGACATTTACTGTCATCACACGCTCCTTCGCCCCATTCTTTATTCTGTTCTTGGCTCTCAATACGGTAGTCTTACCGCAAAGTCTAGTACTAATATCCCATAATGTTTGAGACCCAAAACATGGCCTCTCCTTGGCCATTAAAGGATGAATTTATAAGTGATAGCGACCGCGACCGTGATAAAGCACCTTGGCATCGTCTCGAGAATTTCCCGACGCCGTTTGCGGAACAATATGCCAGACTCAGTCAGCCTTGGCTTCCCGGCTTCTGGATTCGGTTCCCCTATCGCGGCCTTGGCATGTGGCTCTTGGCGTTACTGGGGACTATTGCGGCCGTTATGATCCTCGTTTATAGCGATGGAGTGCCTGTTGATCATTGGGATGAGCGGATACAGCCTACGGTATGGCTGGCTTTGACATCTGCCTTGTCGGGAGCTTTTCTTGCTTGTGCTTTTACCGAGGGAGCGGCTATTTCGTACTGGAGAGCAGCTGGTAAACCAGTTACTGTAAGTAAGCCCAAGGCTTTCAGACATCAGTTGTTGATTGAGGCTAGTTGCAACAACTCCAAGCTGTGTATGGCTCCTCGACTGGTATCATCCAAGCCGCTGTCAACTTGTTTACCTGGAAGTCGAAGACATTAGGCCTAGGTATGATTGGCATATAGTCCTGCAATGGCTGCTGAGGTGCTAATTATGACAGCCTCAATTCTCATGACACTCTCCGTCCTGCGCGGCCCTCTCATGCAGCGCGCCTCATCAACAACAAACCACTACCAGGCCCAGCAAGGAACCGTAAACTTTCATATCGCGAGAGAACTTCCCGAGAACTACGCATCCATAATGACTGGTAGAACTCATTCAACTTCACTGCTTACCAAGAACTTCAGCGACGTCGCCCAAAGCTACAGTCGCCGATCTGACATGGCCGTTTTCGATACTTCCTGCACCAACTGTACAACTTCAGTACAAGGCTTTGGTTTCGACGTCAATTGTACCGAAACGACAAGGGACTTCAATCTCACAATCGGCACGGACAGGGCTAGCATGCTGAGAGCTATGGACGGAGCATATTTCTTCCAGGTCAATGTTACCGAGTATAGTGACTGGGGCGTTAACGACCTGGCCAATGGTTCATTCCTACGATACACTACGCTCTATAAGGACACAGACAAGTGCAATGGAAAGACCAAGGTCCAAACTTGCGACCTTCACGGTGGAATTGCCAAGTTCCCAGTACGAATGGATGGGACGACAGTCGAGCTGCTGGGAACGCGGAAGGACGACAAGTTTATCGAAAGGAAGTATGTGCTACCCCTCCATACCACATAGCTGTTTACTGATTAGGTCGAAGATACATGTTGCCCGCTGATTTGGTCATGTCTGGGTCAGGAAATATTCTGGGAGGCTTCAGCATGATTGCAAAATCGCTCTACGAGTCTCAAGCTTTCATGCGCTTTACGGGCGCTACTGGCTACGATGTCAGTTCAACAGGTTTGCCAGCAACCCAGTATCTCACCATGAACGGCACAACCCCAGGCTGCGGAGATCGGTGGGATAACCCGATGGAAGATATCATCGAGCTTACCCGTGACATTGGCTTTCGAGCAAGTCTTCAATACGCCAAATACAACACGACAGACAAGCAAAAAGTCGAGTACGACAGCGGCACCACGACGCTAGTATACGTAACGAATTACGACAAGATGTGGATAGCGATTGCAGTTTCGCTGGTTGGCATTTTCGCTGTCCTGCCTACTTTCTGGGGCTGGTGGGAGCTCGGCCGAGATGTCAGTCTTAACCCGCTCGAGATTGCGAATGCCTTTGGAACTGTTGGGCAGGAATCGCATATTATGAGAAACGTTGATCCGAATCAGAACGTCGGAGGAATTGTGAATGCGGTTAATGATATTGGGCCTGTGAGATATGGTGCTTGGGAGATGAGCGATGGTGTTGTCAGACTCGGGTTTGCGGGAGCTGGCTTGGTGAGGAACCCGTCCAAGGGGGAGAGATTCAATTATTAGTTTCTGAATAAATTTTTTCTTAATGTCTATCAAATTTCGATCTGGTCGTCGATTTATCCTAAGGTATTTGGAGGTTAATAGATGAAATATATCGTGTCCTCATCCCTCTCCAGTGTTCGCAGCCTAAAGCTTGATCTTATAGGCAAGGGCGGACTCGGGAGACTCTATTAAACCAGGTCGTGGACAACAAAGAGGGTCATCGGCATTCTTAGAGGAGAATGCGAACAGACTCAAATGATGACGAAGATGGTTCTGTTGAAGAGGAAGATCTGAAATCGAAGCTTGGACAAAGACCACATACTGATGAACCACGGAGATTTGGGTGTCTGTATCTCGAGAGAGAACCTAGCAGTATGAAGAACTGGTCACGATAGTGAATACAGGCCCATTTGGGTTCAGCAAGCCTGCCACCTTCGCTGAGTTTTCTCGCCGAGAGTTTCCTCCATTAGTTCCACGGGAGTTCGAGGTTCTTTTGCAGTCAGGGTTTCAGAATGCAGAAAAGAAAAGATGTCCAACAGTTCGGCATGTCGTTCTGAATCTCCAGTATCGGCTTGCAGCCCTCATTGAACAGTCAGAGAGAGAGAGGGGTTGGTGGAAGAACTGCTCCAACTGCTAAGAACTAGACGCCTAGACCAGATGGGGATGTGAAGGGCGCTCAGGGTCCAGAAGGGTGCTTCAAAAAATACTGGGAGATAGTGGCGCTTTGAACTCGTGTCTTTCTTAACCAGTTTTGGGGACTAATCCACTCGAGCTTTACATGAGTTGGGATCTCACGTCGCAATACCTGTTCGATCATACATTCCATGGTCAGTATTCCCTTCCTCAGCTAGGAAAACAACGTGAGACGACTTAAAAGCACGGGGATAGAGTTAATCAGCTATCCGATAGGCTTGGTGGGTTCTATAGCTTTTTATTTATTTGTTGTAAGTCGAAATCGCGGCATGATTATTTGACCATCCGAGAAGCCACCTCCACTTACTTTCTGTAGAACCGTCTACTTGCTGCGGAAGGATCACAGATTTCAGCAACCATCTCACTGTATGGTCTGGGAATTGGTGGATCCGCATGGAGGCTAAATCTGGTCTGAATGGGATAAGGAGATGCATGTATTTGGGGACACTATGTGAGTTGAGAGTTGGGTTTGGGCAGTCAAGCCTGGTACACTACAATACAATACAAAACGTCTTTATGACGATCAAAACTCCGCCCTTGCATTCCATATCCATTTGTGCCCAATCCAGGCGTCAGACGATTTTACATCCAGTGAATCCCTAAGAGAGGAAATGAAGTCCGACACCTCGATCCCAAATTTTGAAAAGACTAAGGTAAGTTAGCATAAGCTGACCATAAGTTTAGGATAAGCTTAGGATACCTTTTGCTCAATTTATTTTAACACCGCGGCGGCCCTAGTAGGCCGGATGAAAAAAGCAAAAGCTAGAAAAACAGCCACTGAGGTCGATGACTCGGTCTTTCACCTCAATGTCCGCCTCGGGGTCCAATGGAAGCCCATTCTGGGGGCGGAGGTCGTCGAGGTAGAACGGTCCGATGGCGCTGAGAGGGAAAAGCCAAAATCCAATGGCGGGGGGCTCCCGGCTGTACTCTTCGTACTCCCGCTGTGTATTGTTGTAGACGCCTCTCTGCTCATCCAGATCGCCGTTAATGCAAACACAATGCGGCTCATAGTTGTAGGTGAGCATGAATTGCTCTTTGGCCTGGTAGACACCTTCAGGGATGTCGAGTATCTGCATCAGATTGCAGAAGGAATAATACCCACGACGAGGGTCCTTGTTGCCGATGTGGACGGCTGTGAGTTCGTTTTCATACAATCCCGACTTATAGTTGAAGGAACCTTTGTCGTATTCATCGGTTTGTACACGTTTGGCGAGGAGGCGAGGCGATTCGTTGATGACCCGCAGGTCACTTCCGTACATCAAAAGCTGGGTACATTTGTTGGGTACGAGCCCGACAAATGTGAGGACCTCGAGCCGACGAATTGCCTCGATGAAAAGAAGACGCTCGTCGTCAGAGATGCGAAACTCATCCTCGTCGTGGCGGAGCTCACAGTCGAGGGCCAAGTTGACGAGGCCGACATTGTGCTTGTCTGCGGCGAAAACAGCATCAGCAAACTTCTCGAAATGCATAAGTGACAAGTAGTTCGTTTCGATGTGGATCGTATCCAATTCAGGGCAGAGGAATAGGATGCCCTCGCTGCTTCCATCAGGGTCGAGTCGACGGCACGGGAGCTGCACACGGTAGAAGTCTTTGGCGGCGCGGCGCGACTCCGATGTGGTGTGTAGAAGCGGGTGGTACGTCGCACCCTTCTTGACGAAGACTTCGTATGGCTTTTCGTCGCCATGGTCGACAAATGAGGTTTCTTCGTGATGACAGTTCCAGGCCGAGAACTCCCAAAGGCCCCTATCAGCAACAAGGACCTTGATGTGTCGATAGTTCGACAGTGCGGACTCCCAGATATCAAGGCGCATTTCAAGAGGGAGATTTTTGAATGGATGGAACGTGTCGAGTTGACTTATCAAGGGGCATGAGGATGCAGTCATCCAGCTGCTGCTTGCTATAAGGTACCAAAGTCATGTTGTACGGACCCGATCCTGGTGCTCGAAGGGAAGCAGCAGTGATGATGTGCTGGTCTGGGGATAATTAAAGATTTAGGTAAGGTTTAGGAGAGGTTAGATGAAGATTTGATGTAGAAAGGGAAGTTTGAAGAGAGGAAAGTTGGTAGAGATTGAAGAGGAGTAACAGCACAGGATACAAACAGGATACAACAGGCACTCGCGCGCGATGATTTGGCACTGGCAGATTCTCAGGAGGCTGGCGTGAGTAGAAGAGTCTGGAGCGTCAGGACTTCACTCTTCTACTGCGAGTTCTAGTGTTAGCGCAACTCTGCCCGGCATCACGAAAAGCGGGACCACAGGTGAATTGCAGAAGCCGTTTGCCTGCAACTGACAGTGGGAACCAAAACCTAATGCTTAGCCTTTGTTCACGTAGAACTGGGACTACTGGGGCATGAATCACGGCGCAATACGTATTGTGAGAGGCACGGACACGGTCAGAGCTCGAGTTGGACACCAAACAGCGCATCCAATCCGAGTGCGCGCCCCTGGTATGAACATTGGATGAACATTTGATACGATTTATGGGATGAAACAAGTAGTATAGTACTTCTACGAGTATTGTCTTTGACCTCGTTTGTGATGTTTCTGGACTTCCCCTGAACGCGTCACAAGCTCAAACTTGGTCACGAACAAAGCCTGTGGATAACTCACCTAGAAAACGGCGCAGGATAGAAAACTGTCGACGTTTTGTGTTGTACTGTAATGTCGTAGGCCTGACCACCCAATCTCAACTTTCAACTCACATAGTCCCCAAATACCGCTACCTAAACGTGATGTTCTCTTTTTGACGAGCATAAATACAGCATAGACTATAAACGGAAGGATCACGGGCAAGGCGACCAAAAGCCCTACAAGTATCACGCATTGCTGAAAGAAGATCCATTGACTTGTAGTGAATCCGGCTTGTGAAATCCGCTCAGAGGGCAAGTAGAGGGTACTTCTAAGCCGGTGTCAGATGATTGGCAAGGTTCGTATTCGGTACTTACCGTCTTAGTCAGCAAAACTCATTCCAGGTTCCATCGATGACGATCCCCTCATCCCAATCCCGTCTTGATGTAAGCAAAGCAGATGAACCAAGAAACACTCATGAGACTCGGACAGTTCTATGATTCATACGAAACAACATGAATGCAACCTCTAGCTCGAGCGATAGGAAACAAATTTCCTTCCATTTCTTACCTGTGATAACAGCAGAACCTAATAGCCGCCGCGAGGTTGAGCTCCGACAATCGAGTGCCAAGTCACATCTCGCCAAATCCATGCATCGAAGTAAAAGAGGCAGCAAGACACTGCCATCAGACCAAGAAGACCTCTATTTGCACAAGGCCAATGAGGGTATGACGATGGTGGAGAGGAGAACCAAGAGAAATGACAGACAACTTCTGCTTACCTCTGGTCAGCTCAGCATGTGCGTTATCCCCGACAGGATAGTGGATCCTCACACCAAGATGCTGCTTCACTACTGCACGCAGTTTTTCTGGCCAGGGTTCGAGATCGGGTCAGCCGCGTTTCATATCCCACCGTTTGCACTTGATTACAACACGCTTGTTGCTCAAGGTCCAGCATTGGTGCATGCTTGTCTGTGGCAAGCTGCTGTGAACCTTGCGTTCAAGAGAAACTCGCGGGTTGCCGATAAGCAAAGCTTACTACACTACAACCAAGCCATTGCGCATATCTCCAGAGACATCACGAAACCGGTCGCACAGATACCTGAGCAGACTCTTTATGCTATCCTCAGTCTTTGTGGTCCTGAGATGTCACCAGACGATGGAAATGGCATCACCAAAAAGGCGTTTGATCCACCATTATCGGAGCTGTCTTGGATCCACGTCTTTGGAAGCAGACTTCTCATCGATTCACACGCAAGGGCCTTGATGAATCTGGTAGACTTGAAAGGCGGTATTCACAATGTCAAGTATGCGGGCTTCCAAGCTTCCTTCAACTACATGGATCTTGTACGCGCCACGCAAATGCTTGTCAAACCTCACCTTCCAGTGTCTCAGCTTTACGGGCGTGTCAAGGAGACCCATGATAGGGCCAAGTTCTTTGGTTATGCTTCTGACTTTGTCAATCATTCTCCCCTCGACGAATCATCGCATATTATTGACAGGCTGAATATGCTTGGACTATCATGTGATATCAGAGAAGTCATATACGACATGAGGATATGGGTCAAGGTTATTGAGGCACATCATCATGACTCCCTCACAAACCCTGATCTTTCGCTTTTAGCTGCTCACAGAGATCTCATCCAACAGCGCCTTCTTGCAACTCTCCCAGACGGGTACGATGGCAAGAAGCTAGTGCAAATTGACACGCCATCAACAACCACCCCAGACCTCTGTATCAACGAGATCATTCAGACAGCTTTGCTGATATTCTCCTTGGGCGTTACATGCCCAATCTCCTACGCGCCCCCTTACCATCATGCTGCGCAGAGGTTACAGGCACAGCTCATCCTGTATAAGGATCGAGCAACCCATCTAGGATTGTCTGACTTGTTGATATGGCTCGGCATGTTGGGAATCCTTTGTACGGAACAGGTTGGGTCCCAGCTCAGAGAGTGGTTCGTTGGATTCCTCGGTTTGGTAGAACGGAAGCGCGGAGTCGCTGGGGACACCAGGGACTGGGATCTAGTCAAGAAAGAATCACTGGAGCCCATCTTGTGGTCTTCTGTCGCTTGCGATACTACAGCAGAAAAGGCGTGGCACGATGTCCAAGATGTCGCGGGCGAGACATCTTGGAATTGGGGTAGGACAACATGGTCGACGATGCTTGGGACTATATGTGGATAAATCAACAAGACTATTGGCAGCTCCTCCACCAATAGCATGAAGAGACTGCCATTCAAGCGGTTCGGCCAAATACGAAAGTAAACCCAGGCATGGTCCTCGCTCGCCCCCGGCAGTTTCGGAGTCACTCCATGAAGCCTGTGTTCCCTCTCAGAGATGTAAGCGTCATCACCATCGATAAGGCTTCCTCTTTATGAGCGCTATTCCTCATCGAGTATATACACTAAATGTCCTTGCATGGGCTAGTGCTGACCCAAGGCGGGTCAAGCCGTTACCTCCAGACCGTCTGACCATTGATCTGAGAGCGACAGTCGGGCTTTTGTTAACACTTGCGATGAGGGCGACGAGCAAATGGGCGAACCCTCGTATCTCCGGTATCTCTACACTGATACCTAATTCTTTCCTGGCCAGCAACCAGGTTCAGGTATGCCACAGGTTTGAAAGGACGAGGTGCTTGGTAACAACATCTTGCTATATATCTGAGCACTCGTCCTTGGTCTCCAAGTTTTACACGACTTATCCTGCCATCACTTCCATCCATCAACTACACCCAAATCTTACCTTACAACATTATGTCTCTTAACAGAAAAGTTGTTCTGGTCACAGGCGGCTCCAAGGGAATAGGGAAAGCCGTCGTAGAGCGTGTTGTGGCCGACGGTGCGAATGTTGTCATCAACTACTCCAGCGATAACAAACCCGCGGAAGAGCTTGTCAGCAAAATAGGTTCTGAGAGAGCTCTTGCTTTCAAAGCTGATGTCTCGAACATCTCTGAGATCGAGAAACTTGTGCAAGCGACGGTTGAGAAGTTCGGCAAGATCGATTGCGTAATGGCAAATGCTGCATGCGCCCCCATGAATGATCTGGACAGCACAACAGAGGAAGACTTCGACAAGGCCTTTAATTTGAACGTCAAGGGACCTTACTTCCTGGTTCAAGTAAGTTTTCTGCTCTGGTTCGTCTGGCCACAGTTCCACTAACAACCATCAGAAAGCAGTTAAGCACATGCCACGAGATGGCCGAGTCATCCTCGTGTCAAGCGGTGTTCTTCACCAATCTCAAGTCGCGCCTCGCTATCTTCTTTATGCATCCTCGAAAGGCTCCGTTGAGCAGATGACACGAATTCTCGCCAAAGACCTCGGACCCAAGGGCATCACTGTCAATGCCATCGCCCCTGGTCCGACAGCCACAGAAATGTTCTTCCAGGGAAAATCGCAGGAACTTATCGATACCATCGCCGGCTTTAGCCCTCTTGGGCGCTTGGGGAAGCCTGAGGAAATTGCTGCTTTGGCTGCCTTTCTTGCTGGTCCAACTAGTTCCTGGGTGTCTGGGCAGGTCATTGGGGCCAATGGGGGTTCCTTTGTGTAAATTGTGACCATGTTATGTTCGTTATATGCTGAGTTATGGACTTTGGAGATCATATTCGTCTATTTCACTGGTGCATATGCATAAAATGTTAAGAATCAAAAGGACCCTGACTGAAATTGGATCTACTGCTAAAGATTGAGCCTTTACTGCGTAGGGAGAATACGGTGTATATCTAACTACGGGATGACTGCGGCCTATAAGGTTAACCTTTAGGCTGCAGTTAATCTATATAGAATGACTCAGGAAATCCTGTAGGACCCTCTCCTGGTTGATAATCTCCCGGTGAGATTGACTGTGACACTTTAGTTATTGTTGCTGGGTATACCAGTGGTGGTGATTTTGGTGCTGCTGTTGGCTCTAGACCCGGCGCTTGTGCAGGAGTGTAAAGTGGCGGTCGAAACGGAGGGGGAAGGTAAATTGTCTGTAGGGAAACGGGGACGGGATAGTAGACTGTCTTGGGAGCGGCTTCTGGCTGGTACTCTGGCCCCTGGTGCTGCTGTGTTGGCTTAGGGTTTGGTTGTTCCTTTGTCGAACTTTCGAACTCGATCTCCCGATCACTTCGGTCAATTTCCCAATGAAGCATGTTCTTTCCGTTGTTCCCATCCCAGCATTTCATCTTTCCCTTGCCAGACATACGCGCCACACCCTTGATATCCTGCTTGAATTTGTTGTAGGCCCCAACTACGGTGTCCCCGACATCTTTCGTCCCGAGGATAACAATACGCCCCGGTTCCTTTCGGACTGAGAACCTCATATTGGCACCCATGTTGGTGCCCCCGATCAGAATATCGGTGCTGTAGTAAGAGTCCGTAGCTCCAATTCTCCAGCCACCCTTATGTTTCGCAGTCCAGTCAATAAGGGCATCAGCTCCGTTCGCGAATGGCGAGCGATTGTTAGTTTTCTTTTTGAAATCTGAGTTTGCGCATGTATCCGTCTGGTTATCAAATTCGAACCTGTTGGGCATTCGGTCTTTCGCGTATGCTTGCTCATCCCAGCTTCGCTTCCCCAAAGCGGAGACGTCGTCTGCACTCTTTTCGTCATCCTTGACATCAGGGTCGAATGAGTTATGGACCCAGATAGAGTAGTCACTGCCACTAGAGTGCTTTAGGATGGAGTGTTTATACACTAAAAACGCTCAGGGTCAGTCAAGGCTCACGTCCGGTTGATTGATACTTAAAGCGTATGACATCTCAACGAGAAATATCAAGCCAATATAATTAGCCTTATCTTTTGGAAGGCAGTATGCATATAGCCTCAATAAAGATAAGTCTCAATTAAAATCAGAATAATATGCTTTTTACGATCACTTGATCAGTAAGCTTATTAGCAGTATATCCACTGATAAAGTCACACGTGGCGCAAATAAACAGAGTCAAAAGCACATTAAGCTCTCTCGAAGAGGGGAAGTTCATGTACGGCTTGTCTCGGTATGACTTACTCTTGTTGAGATCTACGCCATGTTGATCAGCTTCTTCGATGTCTCGAGCGGTCAACGGAACATCACGCTTGACACGAACATGTGACACGAAAGTGTTGTTTCGGGTGGCGATGTTGCTTTGTTCATGTGTGTCTTGGGTGAGAAGGCCATTGATGAGAGTCGCTGGCGCCAACACGGCGATGAACAAGGTGAGAAGATGCATTGTTGAGTTGGTATGAGAGATTGATGGAAGAGAAAAGTGACTTGAAAACTTTTTGAAGAAGGGAAATCTGGCTTAATTTATATCTGCAAGAAAAGCTTCTGGAGAAAAGTTTATATTGGGGAAAATAATATCCTTTTGTCATTCATCACATGTGCTTGCAGCCTAAAGGTTAACCTTATAGGCCCATAGCCAACCGGAATCTCAACCAGACATTGTTGATTTATAGTTGAAGCTTATGATATCCCAACGAGACATATCAAGCCATCAACCAGACCTTGTGGACATGGTTGCTTGTGGAAACGCAAAATATGCGGTCTTCCGCTTCGATGATACTCGCCACCTAGCCTCATAGACCAATGAAATATCCCGCATCCAAATCTCACAAGAGTCGCGACGCTGGAGCCATCTTCAAGATCACATGAAGGCCCTGGATAAGCTTATCTCTGATAAGATGACGAGGTACGCCCCACGAGCAGCACTGAATGAATCATTCGCAGCAATGATCCAAGCATACGATTCTTACACGCAGTTAACGCAGTTAAAAGGTGCCAACGAGCCGGCTGCTGTAGCTAATCGTACAGCTAGAAGCTCTGGTCAGCTCGCAAAGATCGCCACAGTCTCTGTGTCTTGCACCGTTACGGCATCTATTCTGTCCATGATCAGCAACTTGACAGCTAGCTAGCTTCTTTTTTATATCTATTAGTACGTCGCTGTGCTGCCTACCATTGCATTGTTTCGTTGGGTCGTGCAGAAGGGTGTTCATGTTTGAAAGGATAGGCTGGTTAAGGAGGCGAAAAGTGAGAGGGGTGAAAAGGTGTCGAGAGTAGCAGAAACAATCGTTGTTACTCGGGGTGAAACTAGACTTGTTCTCAGGATTGGAACCGTATAACATGACAGTGTATGACTTTATTTAGTGCTCGCCTCTAACTGCATACTGAGAGCAAAGAGTTTCGAGCATGGCGCCAGGACTTGTTATTGGTGGAAGGCTGTTTCACATTCGGATAAATGAAAGAGGCTCTGCCGAATATCAACAAAGATGGGCAGTTTTTCTTTTCCCCTCGGATCTTAGTAGCAAGAAAACATCAGATCTTAATATAGGGTGCCCAAATTAAATCAGCAAAAGGCATCCTAAATTTTCGACGAACTTACCCAAGTCTTTTTGTCGCTTAGAATCGATATCCTGGGTTCTATTTCCTCCAATAGCCAGGGTCTTACGAGTTTCCATTTCTATCTCAAAAGCATAACAGTGTACGGAAATTGCCGTCATCCTGTCCAATAAAGCGCCACTACTGAACCGTAAAGGTCCAAGGGACAGACTTTTGGCATCGGACCGACAATTTCAGACTTTGTTTCAGAAACAGGTTGGTGAATATCACCTTCTAGAAGCAGTGTCTTCAGTCCCGGGGTTTCCAGATATGCATTGATCACATATTGAACCACAACTAGCCCTAGACCAAAGTAGGCGGATTAATGTTAGTCGAAGATCTAACTTCTTTGGAAAGCAGCATGTTTACCAGCTATAGCGTCAATATAGGAACAGTGGATTGACCCGTTTTGATCGATATTAAGGAGAAACCTTAAATTTTGCCAGAGGATCTTCGCAGTCCAACCAGATCGGAGGCAGGGGTCAAGTCAAAAACTGTAAATGCGCTTCCAAGTGTCAACTCCAAGTGAACGCTGACGACGTCAGCTAGGATAGCCTCAAAACTCTACTTCCCATAGTGATCGGCAAATCTATCCCTGGATCTCATGAGTCTAGAACTCGACCAACTTATGCGTTTTCAATGGATTCAAGATCTGATATCGGCAGTTGCTGATCAGAAGATCTATATAATACCATCAGGATGTCTTCTCGATTAACAACTACAACACATTCATTTCACATTCATTCCTTACCATACGCTCTTTACTCAACATCAACATGAAATTCACTCTTTTCAATTTCATAGGCCTAGCCCTGGTCACTTCAGCTGCTGCATCTCCTGTAGCGGGCTACGAGTTGATAGCGAGAGATGCAAGTCTCGAGCCAAGTTTGGACTCATCAACCATTGAGGGCCGAGCTGTTGGTGGCTCTTCCAACTACCTTATCTACCCAAAAGCCAACGCAGTCAAGAAAGATATCGAAGCATTCACTAAAAGCCTTCAGTCGCAGGCCGGCAAGACTAAGGTGGACACTCTCACCGATATGAACGGCAAGCTTCTAGCTTGGTACGCTCCGCTGAGCGCAAGCCAGCTTGCTGCTATCAACAAAAGCAGTGTTGTAAGTAGAGTATCGTTAATCAAAGATCTACATTAACGTGTTAAACAAGATCGGATCAGTTGCTCCTGATGGGCAGCTGAAGGTCCAGGCGAAACCCTCCGGCATTACCAAGCGCGCTCTCAAGACCGATAAGAAGGCTCAGCCTGAGCTTCAGATGTTCTCAACTGCTCCAGGAAAAAAGCCTTCTGGCTACACTTATGATGAGAAAGCCGGCCAAGGCGTCACTATCTATGTCCTGGATGAAGGCTTCAACCTCAGACACAAGGTAAGCCGCCGCCAGCTTGACTATGTGATTACACGACTGACTAGCTTCGACACAGGAATTCACTTCGTCTTCTGGCAGGAAAAGGTGGATCTTCTCCAAGGGCGTCTCCGGTGAGAATGACCCCGACGGCCACGGTTCCTGCTGTGCATCCAAGGCACTTGGCAGCACGGTTGGAGTTGCGCCGAAAGCGGATCTCGTTGCTGTCAAGCTCCAGTTAACTTCTTGGTCCATGCTCAAGGCCTGGCAAGCAGTCATCTTGGATGTTCAGCAGAATAGACTGCAAGGAAAAGCTGTCGTGAGCTACTCAAAAGCTAGTAAGTTTCCGGCATACACTCGAGGCTGCGCTCACTGCTAATATGATAGCGATTGCTTGGCGTATCGATCGTGGAGAATCGTATTTCGGAGTCGTCCTCTTGAGTCTCTTGAAGAACTTGGAGGCTCTTGATGTTGTTGTCGTCAGCTCTTCGGGAAATGAGGGCGTAAGTTCATGGGCGGTATACTAGCCGTGATTTATACACTAACAACGGTCAGAGTAATATTGATGTCCACTCATACCCATCACTTTTTGCCGACCGAACTCCTATCATTGTTACCGGAGCTGTCGATAATGAAGGGAAACTTGCTTTCTTCTCCCAAGGCGGTCCTCTAGTCACGACCACTGCACCTGGAGTCGCCGTCAAGTGCGCTGCAATGAGCGGCACATCAGCTTACCAGGCTGGCGAAGAGTCAACTGGAACATCATTCTGTAAGTTATCATCTTCTATCGGCTAGAACTCGACTGACATCCATAGCTACACCTGCCGTTGCTGGATTGGCAGCCTACTTCCTATCACTTGACTCCTTGAGACCTAGACTTCAAGTCCGTGGCTCAGTTGCGAGGAACGTCAAGGCACTTATTCAGGAGCATCACTACGCACGCGCCAAACATGGACCCAAGGTTGCATGGAACGCGCACACTCTTGTGAAAAACTGATCAGTCTATGCAGACTTCTACGGCTTGTGGTTTAGAAGGGAAGTTGAGAGACGGTTTCAGTCGTTGTATGGAGTTCTCCAATGGAGTTTAAGCTCGGCCGGCTACTGTTGGGTTGCTGTCACGATAGAGTAAAAATATAGTGCTTTTTACTTCCTCATACTTGGATGCAGCGCTCGAGTATGTCCTGTGCTGGTGTAGAAGCTCCAGTAAACTTAGTTCAAATTTATCACAAGCATCGGTCTAACTTTTCTTACATCTAGAGCACTACTACAAAACAAACGACCACCATTTTTCATAACTTATAACGAGGCTCTCAAGCAATCCAGAACCAGATGCGCTCAAGCCAGTTTCTTGGTTGGACTATCGGCCAAGTATGTTCCAGGCGGTCAATCTCCGCTTTGCCAGACCAAAGATCCATCTCAGAGTACTTAACATACTTAGATTTCTTGATCCACTTGTATCCGAAGATCAACACAAGAAAGATGGGAATATTGATGTATGGGGGCAGGAATGTCTTTGCGCTGAAGCGCCCTGGGAAGAAGGCATCGAAGCCGTTGAATACTGCGACGATGGTACAGAAGCAGAAGGAAAAATAGGCCAGGAATGGTTGAAAGGGTGATTTAAATGGCAGAGTATTCCGGTCGATACCATGGTGGCTGAGGCAGTAGTAGAAGCGGAGATAAGTGAAGGAGACACTCGCCCAAATGATGAGCGCTCCGACACCGCTGAGGTTGCTTAACCAGAAGAAGACCTCGGAGCCGCTATTGCTAACATTGAGATACACCAGTAGCCCAAAGATAGTGGTGACACCAACACAGAGATATGGAACACCGAATCTTTCCCAGGTCAGAATGCGAGGTGCTTTACCATCAAGCGCCGCGGCATAAAGAACTCGCGTAGCGGCGTAGAAGAGAGAGTTGCCGGAAGACCAAGCCGATGTAAGGATGACTGCGTTGATGATCGAGGGAAGAATCTTGATGCCGCTATTGCGAATGGCAATGACGAAAGGACTTTGGGCGGCGCCGGGAGCAGACTTGTTGATGGCGTTGAGAAGGTTGGGGTCTTTGGATGAGACGCAAAGACCGACGAGGAAGATGGATAGGACATAGAAGATGGCGATTCTCCAAAAGACACGACGGATGGCCTTGGGAATGTTGCGACGAGGATTCTCGGTTTCGCCGGACGCCATGACAACCATTTCGCTACCACCGTAGGAGAACGTTGCAGTGATGAACACCTTGACAAAGGCGAGGAATCGGCCGAGAGCACCATCTTTGAGGTACTCATTCATGGGGCCGGGATGATGCCAATATCGGAAGCCGATTGCCTCTCCACTTGGACCACCACCGACAGTGATGATGAACATGAGGATGATGAGGCCGACGATGGTCAATAACTTGATGGCTCCGAAGACAAACTCTGCTTCTCCGTATATCCGAACAGGAAGACAGTTGAGAATGACCATGGTGAAGTAGAAGAGTGTGATCAATGCGACTTGGGGGATGTTATGATGCCAGTAATTGACGATGACCGCCGAGACAGTGACCTCAATCGGAACACCAATAGCAAATTGGTACCAATAGTTCCAAGCCAGGGCAAAACCAAGAGCAGGGTCAACGAAGCGGGCTGCAAAGATAGGGACGGGGCCAGGGATGGGAAGCCATGATGCCATCTCACCGACACTGTTCAACACACAGTAGATGTTGAAGCCCGTGATAGTGTACGCCAAAAACGCCGAGAGGGGTCCAGCAAGTGACAGAACCTGACCACTACCAACAAAAAGGCCCGTGCCAATGGCACCCGACAAAGCAAGGAACTGAACATGCCTAGACTTGAGCCTGCGGTTCAAAGTACCGACATTTCGGTTCTCGTAATCATCAGCCTTAGCATCAACGTTGTTGGTCGGCAGTGTTGGTTCGATGGTGGGCGACTCCCTGCCAGCTTCTATATCGGGGTTTTTCTTGTCGATATCCATGTTCTGCAGCAGTGGTTGTAGCTCCCCTGGCGATGCGTGAGATGAGGGAGGAGACATCGTGGAAAGAGGAGGCTCTGAGGTATTAAGCATATAAAAAGTCTCTCTCTACTCGTCACTCGCACTGAGAAAGCTCCGTGGGCAGGCTTTCCCGGGGATGCAAAATTGGTGCTTGAGCCGGTGATGATGGCGAGTGCTCCCCACGCTATGACAAACGGTTGTGAGGGTTGGTGCATGGGTTAGTCCAATGGATGGCGATGGACCTGCAAGAATTTTCATGTTTGGGCAGATGCATTTTTGGCGATGAGTTGATTATCACCCGATAATAATTGATTAACATGCTCCCACCTAAAATGCGTGTTAGTGTGTTAGTGCTCTAATAGCAAGATCTGCAGACTAAACGATCCTTGGATGCGGGCCCATAACCTAAAAGGGAAGCTCGTCTCTCGGAGCCAATGATGGACGGACTGAGCCGTGATAACCGGCTTGGCAACTGATCCGAGGTCGGTGATGCACTGATTGATAAGATGACGAGGCAAGGATCTCGCGGAAGAAGCATATCAATCTGCAGAGATCGAGCCATTGTTCCGCGGTTGGCTCCACTGTCTGCTGAAGGCGTTGCTTGTGATTTTTAATGGCTCAAGCCCTCGATCTAAATGATACGCGGCGACGAGGGCTCGGTCGAGAGTCATATCAGAAAACAATTTATGCCATGGAAAATAACAGATAACAACTTATAAGATGGTGGTTATTTAGAATCAACCCAGGTCTCTTGTGTCAATGCATTGGGTCGAGATGACCGAGTCGCGTTGTCGCGTAGTTAGCCATTGCGTAATGGAAGGCCGTTGCATTCCTCGCTACTCTATGCCTGCAAACACAGTACTTGCAATTATACTACAGCGCCGTCATAAGCACATGTGCTATGATATATAGATAAAGAAATTGTCTATAAGTCCATAAAAGCCAGTCTATACATCAATTGAACAGTTTTCACGTTTTTGCTTGCCAGTATCCAACGTACGTTGAGGAAAAGATGCTGCAGTCTGACCATCACTAAACTTTACACAAACATGACCTAGCTACAGTTCAAGTTGTAGTCGCCAAGATTTAAATAAGAATGATATTGAGCAAAACAACGTCTGCATAAAATAATTCTTACCACTTCACTTAAAGCAACTTAGAATAAAAATAATGAATCTTGAGTGTGAATTACGCTGCATGCCGTAGCGTCGCGTCCATGAACCGTGGTAGCGGAGGGGGATCTCAACCAATAACACAAAGCCCCGTTGGCTCAGTGGTAAAGCGTATCACTAGTAAACTACCACGAAATGATAAGATCACTGGTTCGATTCCAGTACGGGGCAAGTTATTGAACTTTCCTTTTTGTCTTTGGAGTAACTAAAACGTGTCGATCCGTATTTGTCCTAGGACGCAGAGCTTACCTACCCTTTTGTCATTATCGGCCATTTGGTACCTTTTTATGGAATCCGAAGCAGCTACCTTTGCGATTCATGACAAACACAAGTCGTTCAAATTGGTATGACCTATAATACACATAAAAGACATGCAGACACAACTCCCAAGACCCATGTTGTCATAATTAAGCCTTCGCCAATGCGCCATCCACAATTTGCCATGTATGATCTCTCACTTTCCGGATCTGCTCCTCACTCCAAGCCGGCTTCTCAAAAACCTTGCCCTTCCGACTCACAAACGCGTAATTCTTGTCCTTGATCTTGACGGCTTCATCCACGCCGTTCAGCATGTACTCGGCACAAGTGTCAGGCGAAACACCCGCGAGAGAAGCTAGACCAACCGAAGGGAGACGCATGTACCAAGGGAGTCCGTGCATGATGTTCGTATTGACAAGACCGGGTAGCGCATGAATGAAATGTCGGGTTTTTCCCTCGGCTTTCTGCTCGGCTGCGTAGTTCTGGATCATGGCGTCTGTCATAGACAAACAGTGGGACGCTGCGTTTCCGAGGCTGAAGTTGTTCTTGAGATCAAGATCATCCCAATTGAGTTTATCAGGACTTCCACCAGTGCTATCGAGCACAATCAAAACCTTGGCATCATCTGTAAGGGTTGGGAGAAGTTCGCGAATGAGGAGTTGTCGTCCGTAGTAATGAAGCGCCATCTTGCGATCGATGCCTTCAGGCGTCTCTGTTCTTCCAGCGGTTGTGAGGATGCCCTGCGAGACAACGAGGGTACTGAACCGATCTTGCGACGCTTTCAGTTCATCGGTGTAAGTTTTGATGGCGCGCATGGAAGACGCGTCTAATTGCTTGAACTGGATGTTTGAGTGGGGAATGTTCTTTGGCTCGGTACGACCGCTGATGATGACGGTGGATGAGGGGGAGTTGGCGGCGAGGCGACAGGCGATGCCGTAGCCGATACCGCCTGTTCCGCCGACGACAAGAGACTTTGCTGCCATGATGTTTGTTCTTGAGACGATTCAAGTGATTGATTGAGGGATGAATGTGTCGTGGGCCGTGTCTTTTTTATGTCACTAGCTGACGCCATGTCTGGTGATAACAATTTCGGAGTTTATGCTTTTACGCTAAACTCCGGATTTATCTGCACTTCCGCTCCGCAGCCAAGCACAAGCCACTCCGCAGAAACAATCATCACGAATTTTCATGAGAGAACAGTGTCCATTTTCGTATACCGTACAGATAGAGTTACGGCTTGAAATAAGCATGTGTGTTATCCACTTACACTGTCACCATCATGTCCTTGCGATACATTGCTCGTCATCATATTTCACGCTCCAAGCCCAGTTCCCGGTGCATCTTCAGGACTCATCTTAACTGGCATCTTCAACCAACCCTTCTTATCAGCCGCTAAAATCGCCTTCAACCAAGCATTCGCCATCTTCTCATAACCATCATCATTCGGATGTTTGGAGTCGCCAAGATCTTCCTTTTTAATATCGATCGGCACTTCAAGAATATGTTTTCCCTTCTTTTGCCTCGCTGAGATAAGTGACCGTACTTGTGGATTGAATTTATCTGTGTTTGCTTGCATCTTCTTATCGTTGGCCCAAATCACTGGTGCGAGACAGATTGTGACATCTGGTGCGACTTTGAAGATCCCGTCGACGATGTCTGCGAGAATGGATGCGGCGATGTCGAGATCTTTTCCTTGGTCCATGTTGTTTGTGCCGGCGTGAATGAGAACGACATTAGGACGGGCTTGGATTGGCTTTTGCCAGTAGCCATTGATATCGGCTAACATTTTCCCACTATGACCCTCGTGGTGTCCATCTACCATGTTTCCGTTCTTCAGTGTGCCAACCATGTTGACTTTGACGCCTTGCTTTAAAATCTTTTGTCGCAATGGGAGACGGTATCCAACTAAGCCTGTTGAGCCAGTACCTTTTGTGATGGAGTCGCCTAATGGCAGAACTCGGATGTTGGGAAGAGCAACGGCCGGTGAAATGGGCGTTGCCGTAAGCACCGCCAAGAAGGTAAAAAATTTCCAAATCGGAGAATGCATTTCGAATAGGGCTGAAGTCAGCTGGGCTGCAAGATGGTGTTGAGATCTTGACTGCACGATAGAGCCTCGGGAAACCAGAAAGTGGCGTCGAATGAGAACATTAGCCAAATAAATAGCCTGGCCAACAGTCGCCATCTCCCTCCCTTGACATCATCTTAACAACCCTCATAAGAACTCAATGCAGGTCGGTAAGCTATTTGATGCAAGTAAGATCTCGTGGTATAAGCTCATTGGTGTCTTTTTATTCCGGCAGACATTAATGCCGGTGACCAGCGCAGAGTGTGCCACCAATGCATCCCATTCCATGACGCCTGCTGCATTATACGAGAGTCGTTATCTTGGCTCGCTTAGAGATTCACACGGGAATGGCGGATTGAGGGCCTTGCAGCTTATCTGACAGGGATCATGATTGGGGAAGCTTGCTTTGTATGCTTGATGACGAAACTATTGATCGCGTGGACAATAGCGCTTGATGCTAGGTCCAATACTATGACACTGATATAAGCTGAGGGGTAGGTCATGAGCTTGTCCGGATTCATCACGGACTAGTGCTTGTGATGAGTTTTGTTTCTGATCATCGCTGTTGAGTTATTCCCATTGCTATCCCCAACCTCCCCATATTTGATCACCAACTGCAACTGTGCCGCATGAAGCTAACATGGATCGTCACATATTTCAGCCTATCTATTACTACTCTGCCCATGTTCCAAGCGAACAACAATGTAATCTTGAAAGATTTCTGGGAGATGAATTGACTGGATAGCCATCAGCCCCAAGAGATTATGATATCGTATCATATTCAATAACTGATGAAACTGAATAATGTTCGTTGTTTATGATGGCCTTTACAAATCCAGTTAAGCTCTCTCTACTCGCGAAACAGTGGGTTCCTTATCGGCATCATCTCCATCATCAAGCATATCGTCCATCTTTGACTGGTTATTATGAAACTTGCTAGTAGCCGCCGCTGCATCACCTTTTCTTCCTGTGTCAAAGAGGACGGACACCTCCTCGATTGTCATATTTCTGAGATTGTCAGCGGCATTCAAGGGCAACAGTAAATAGGAACATACCTTGTCTCAGGGAAGAAGAATAGAATAAGAACAAGATACATAGCGATGACCGCAATGTAGACGATGTAGCTACTTCAGGTCAGCGACGCTTCCAAATTTGTTCACAATGGACTTACTATTTCCATGCAATTGCCTCAAGTGCAACAGGATTTACCCATTGGTTGAAAGCCAGTGCAACACTCTGAACACTTAATTCGATACTCAGACCCTTCAGTCTCAGATTATACGGCAGAATCTCAGCGCCATAAGCAAACGGTAGTGGCGACCAACTGATGCAGTAGAATGTTTTGAAGAGGTACATCATCGGCACCACAGCAACACCGACGCCATGTGATGGGTTCTCGGCAAAGGAGCCGCTGAGGCCAGTGATGATTGTATAAGCGACACACATGCCAGCCGTGCCTGTGATCCAAAGCGTGCGTCTACCAAGGCGCTCAGCACTCATGGCTCCTGCATAAGCCCACATAAGAGACCAGATCGCCATACCGCCGTTAATACCCGCGATCGCGCTGGATGAGGTGATGCCAACGAGCTTGAGGGCTGGTGACAGGTAATAAGCGATAATACCATTTCCAACCCAGTTGGAACCCGTGCCCATGGTCACAAGAACAAGTAGTCGGCGTCGGTTACCTGGAGTCTTGAGGAAGTCACTGTACTTGGAGTTATTGCTCTCTTTCTCCAACTGTAAGGCTTGGCAGATTTCGTCGAACTCGTATCGAACCAACTCGTCGTTGAGGTCGCCGTTGGCGTGTTCGTCGGCAAGAACTTTGAGGGCTTCTTCGGATCGGTCGTGGTCTATGAGCCATCGAGGGCTTTCGGGTACAAAAAGAAGATGAACAAGGACAACGGCGGGAGCAAAGGCCTGGAACAGGCAGGGTGCTCGCCATCTCCACTCGGTATCTGGCCAAGACAGTGTGCCATAGCAAAACCACGCAGCGACGATCTGGCCGACGTAATAGTTGCTGTAATACGCCGTCGCAACATATGGTCTCAGACGAGGATGCGCCAGTTCCTGAAGCAGTGCAATACCGGTGATCTTCCCGAACGGTCCAGCTGCACCGATAATGACTCTTCCACCAATAAAGGTTCCGATATTCTTGGCAAAAGCGTTAAGGAATGCACCGAGGATTAGCAGCACTGAACCAACAGCCAAACACCACTTTCTTCCCCAGAGTCCATTGATCCACGACGCTGCGAAGGGAGTGATGATCGCTGGGAGAAACAGACTGGCTGAGATCAAACCCAGCGTGTTTCCAGATGGATAGTTAAAGTATTCTTCCCATTGGGGGATTGCCTGGAGACCGTTCATGAGGGAGGCGTCGAAACCAAGGTAGAAGACCGCAAAGTAGAAGCCGACACAGTGCCAGACATTCTTGCGCAGGCCAGAGTCCTTGTACCACGTTGGATGGGTGTTGTTTTTGAGATGAGCATAATGCAAGGTTCTGGTGGCCTTTGGCCTGAAGAACTCAGTCACTTTGTTGAGCATCTTTATAGCTCACCGATGAAAGAGCTATGACCAGATGAAGTGCGACTTGATGATCAGTTCTCAGTCAGTTATATATCCTCGCAACAGAACCCATCGCTTTGGGTCGAAGCTCTCGTCTCTGCGGGGTAGACCTGGGGTAGACCTGGGGTAGCGGATAACCATGCCCATGGGCTGATCCTTTCTCGACATGGTTACAAACTCGGTTATTGTAGTTGATCCGCCAGTCGGATGGATGACCGATTCATCGAACAGAAGTCCAGGTTGCTAGACGGATTGATGTCCGGGCAGGCAGGCTGTATGCTTCCGGGAATACGCCCGCTGCCACTCCCTTGCGTCCACAATAGTCTCGACAGCAGTGGGTCGAGGCCGACCTAAAGATTTGTATTGGAATGCCTTGTGGTGTCTGTCATCCTAGACAGAGGAACTCCGATGGCATTGGTCAGTTGATTCGGATTTGCATATTCAGACAATTGCATAAAGGACGACGAATCAATCTCAATGGTATATGAACAATGGCAATCAAGGAAGGTATGATTGTGATGATTGTACTATTTAAACAAGCTTACGAAGAAGCCTGCTCAAAGGCCTTACGGTTCACTGCCGTAGTTGGCTCGCCACAAAACTCCCCATTCTCATCCACTACTCTCAGAATATTTTCCATGGCCATAAGCTCAAAATTAATTCTCGTAGTAATAGCAGCTCCTCCGTTATGGCAAGTTAGCGTGACATTATCCATAGCTGCAAGTTCTTTCGAGACTTGAGGTTCGTGGTAATGAACATCTAGGCCCGCAGCCGAGATCTTGCCACTCTTGAGGGCTTCAATCAACGCATCTTCGTTGACGATCTGCCCTCGAGCTGTATTAACGAGTCTCGCGCCATCTTTCATGGCTGCAAATGCTTCTTTGTTGATGAGATCTTGAGTATGAGCGTTGAGCGGCGTATGTAGAGTAATGCAATCAGCAATCCCCAGTAGCTCGTAGAGAGATGAATGATATGTTGCTTGAAGCTCCTCCTCCACTTCTGGCGGCGAGCGAACCACATCGTAATAGTGAATCTTCATGCCCAAAGCCAAACCTGCTTTACGGGCAACAAGTTTGCTGATATTACCAAGACCAACAATACCAAGGACATGACCTCGAGGATTGTAAGAGATGGTTGCGATAAGTTTGTGCATCCTTTGGAACTCCGCTGGATCACAAGTCCGTGCACCACGCTGTGAAAGCCAAAAGTTTCGGAACACCGATAAGATCATGAACAGAGCAGTGTCGGATACGGCTTCATCACTGGCGCCGGCGCCATTGGCGTACCAGATGCGGCGGCGACCGAGGGCATCGACATCAGCCCAGTTGAAGCCTGCACCAGCAGACGCAAAGATCC